GGGAGCACTGAGGGTATGTTTTCTCCCCAGCCCTCTCCCCTTTGTTCTCCTCCATGCAGGCCCCCGATGTGGGCAGAGGTTTCCTGGATCTTGGAGCTGCCAAGCCCCCTACCACACTGCATGCTTTGTGAAGTTTTAGTCCAAACTTGGTCTTGCTGTGTGATATTGGAAGGGCTTCTTACAGTTCTGAATCTCCCTCTCTCTTCTACCCATATCCCCATATGATTGACACAACGACTCTATAGCACACAATAGACTCTGCAAAGCTCAAACTTTTGGAGAAAACTACGCTGAGTGGACCTATTGCAATTGTAACTGTCCCCAAATCACCCTTCATTCACTCAATTCTGCTGTGTAGACATGACCACTACCCCTGGTCAGAATGAATGACTGTCTAGGCCTGGTGGGGCTGTGTGTGATTTCGTCGTTTGCCTCCTCCTCAGGCGTCCCCTCCCAGCTTCCCCTCAGGGTCCCCTGTCTTGCGACTCAGCCCCTGCCTGCACAGGAGCCTGGAAGGGCTCAACCAAGAGCTGGAGGAGGTGTTTGTGAAGGAGCAGGGAGAAGAGGAGCTGCTGAGGGTGAGTGGCGGCCGCACCCTGAGTGCACCCACAGTCCGTGCCTCACTTGGCCTGGGTGAGGGGAACTGGGAGTCCTGCTCTCTGGGGCCTCACAGGCTATGGCTATGCAAACAGCAGCATACAAACACCAGCCTGCAAAAGGAATGCAAATGGAGTTTCTTAGTCTCAAATGGCCTTACCTGTGTCACTAGGACAGGCTTTGTGGTGGTGAGTATAAAGAGAGGGGGCCCCCCCGGCTGGGAGGAACAGGCAGGGGTCATCTTCAGCCAAACTGCCAGCTCTCACTGTTCCCCATGTGCTCAGCACCAGCATGGGCATGTCAGTGCCTGCTGCTCCCTGCCCCTTCTCCATCTCTACCTGGTAACACACATGCTCCTACGCAGCCATCTCCCTGACTCCACTCCCAGGCAGAATATGTGCTACTTTTGCTGAAGTCTCAGGCATTTTTGTTTCTTTTTGAGACAGAGTTTCACTCTTGTTGCCCAGGCTGGGGTGCAATGGTATGATCTCAGCTCACTGCAACCTCTGCCTCCCGGGTTCAAGCAGTTCTCTGCCTCAGCCTCCCCAGTAGCTGGGATTACAGGCACTTGCCACCACGCCTGGCTAATTTTTGTATTTTTAATAGAGATGGGGTTTCATCATCTTTGCCAGGCTGGTCTTAAACTTCTGACCTCATGATCCACCCGCTTCAGCCTCCCAAAGTGCTGGGGGATTACAGGCGTAAGCCACCATGCCCAGCCCTTTTTTTTTTTTTTTTTTTTTTTGAGACATAGTCTCACTCTGATCGCTAGCCTGGAGTGCAGTGGCGTGATCTTGGCTCACTGCAATCTCCGCCTCCTGGGTTCAAGCAATTCCCCCACCTCAGCCTCCCTAGTAGCTGGGACTACAGGCATGTGCCACCACACCCGGCTAATTTTTTGTATTTTAGTACGGGGTTTCACCATGTTGGCCAGGATGGCCTCGATCTCCTGACCTCGTGATCCGCCCACCTCAGCCTCCCAAAGTGCTGGGATTCACTCTTGTTGCCCAAGCTGGGGTGCAATGGCGTGATCTCAGCTCACTGTAACCTCTGCCTCCCAGGTTCAAGCAGTTCTCTGCCTCAGCCTCCCCAGTAGCTAGGGGAGCCGCCGTGCTGCTCTCAGGCACTTTTTTTTTTTTTTTTTGAGACAGAGTCTCACTTTGTCGCCCAGGCTGGAGTGCAATGGTGCGATCTGGGCTCACTGCAAGCTCCGCCTCCCGGGTTCACGCCATTCTCCTGCCTCAGCCTCCTGAGTAGCTGGAACTACAGGCACCCACCATGATGCCTGGCTACTTTTTTTTTGTATTTTTGAGTAGAGATGGGGTTTCACTGTGTTAGCCAGAATGGTCTCTATCTCCCAACCTCGTGATCCGCCCACCTCAGCCTCCCAAAGTCCTGGGATTACAGGTGTAAGCCACCGTGCCCAACCGGCCTCAGGCACACTTTTGTATTAACACAGTTTAATTGGGGAATGCCAGTTGGCCAGTATTAATATGATTCTAATGGGCACACTTCTCAGTTTATGATTTACCTTCTAGTTGATTTTGAATTCGCATGTATGCAGGATTTCACATATACCCAAACACATGCACATAATTTGGTGAGCTACAGGTTCAAGTACCATTGAGTGTTTTTAAAAGGGGATGAGGAGGTATGTAATACATGCTAATCATCAGCATACTTGTTCTGCAATGGTTACAGCACTTACAGGCTCCTGGTGGTTTGCCGCTATTGTGCCCTCCAGCATACATTATCATCTTTGTGTTCCTAGAGCCCAGGGCACAGAAGGTCCCTGCCCTCATGAGGCTTATAGTCTTGTGGGGACAACACATTGATCAAGCCCTACAGGTGAATATGTAATTATACATTGGACTGTGAGTGCTATTAGGGATAAGAGCAAAGTGCTATGGAAGAAACAGGAGGGAGTTTCTTCTAGATTGAGGGGTGGCCAGGGAAATAAATGGCTGGAGGAAATGGTGTTCTGTGGTTGTGTGTTATGGATAGAGAATGACAGCAGCAAGGGGAATACCCTCAGGGTCACTGTGCTGCTGCAGGCCTGAAATACTCAAGGCTGAGAGTCTTTACCGTCCTTCCCCATCAGATCCTTGAGATCCCTGACGGGCACCGGGCCCCAGCTCCTTCCCAGAGTGGCAGCTGTGATCATCCCCTCCTCCTCCTGGAGCCTGGCAACCTTGCCAGCTCTCCTTCCATGTCCTTGGCATCCCCCCAGCCTTGTGGCCCGGCCAGTCATGAGGAACAGCGGGGTGCTGCCGAGGAGCTAGCATCCACCCCCAACGACAAAGGTAAGCTGCGGAGGCTGAGGCAGCAGGGCTGACTCTGGGGCACACGAGTGGCTCCACTCCCTTTTCCACCTCTAGTCAATTCAGGCCCAGCATTCTCAGTACCCTACTAGAATATCTTTATGAGTCATCTTTCTTCTGCACATTATACAAATGATAATAATGGTCCCATACGTCCCGTTCTGGTTGATAATTTATGAAGTCTCTGCATTTATACATCTATTTAATCCTCACTGGGATCCAAAGAAGCAATCCCTGTCATCCCCATTTTTGGGCTGAGGTTCAGCAAGCTGTAGGGGAAAGCAGCGAGTCTTCATTCAGGTGTCCACTGTACTCATTCCCAGCAATGGTTTCAAAGTAGTTGTGAGTGATACAAAGTAAGAGAATATGGTCGCTTGTCCAGGGTTGTATAGTTTGACCTAGACCAAAACCGATTTTTTTTTTACTCCAAATCTCTACTTTCTACAATGCCCTATCTACTTCGCTGAGAAAATGAGATAAAATTCTTACCTCCTAATGATCCTTACATTATAAAGCAGTGTGCCTATATTGTCTGATTTGATTGTCACAGCAACCCCATGAGGTAGACTGGTCAAGGGTATGATCTAACAATACACATAGGTAAATAGAGCATAGAGTAAGGGGAATAAATGTGAGATAAATACAGATAAAGTCAATATTTGCAACCTAGGCCAAGTACATTCACTGTGTGGAAAGGGAGAGGAATTTTATCCTACAAGTGGGGTTGAGTAAAGATTGCTTCTCTGAGTCAGAGAAGAACTCTTCTTGGAAGGACAGATTTTCAAGACTGTGGACAGGAAGAAGCCGTGGTATGTTGGCAGGGAGGGTGTTACAGTCTTGGAAGAAGGCAGAGAGAGACGCATTTAGGATTGCTTCAAGTCTGAGATTTGGAGTTCCGGTCCCAGTCTACCTCCTGGGAATATAGAATTGGTATGAGAGCTTAACTTTCCATCCATTCAACTCCATTTTTTTGTTCTGTTATACACTGTGTATTTTTGTAAGCTGCCTCAAAGGTTTTTAAGGTACAGTATAATAATCACAGTGGCTAAGCACAGCCACTATCCTCTTCCTTACCATGCGTCCCCAGTCTTGCCACTTTACACCCCAGTCCTGGACCCAGAAAAGTGGAGGCCTTCCCTTCATCTCCACTAGACTCAGCCTTGCTCTGTTCACAGCCTCCTCTCCAGGCCACCCAGCCTTTCTTGAAGATGGCAGCCCATCTCCTGTCCTTGCCTTTGCTGCCTCCCCTCGGCCTAATCATAGCTACGTCTTCAAACGGGAGCCCCCAGAAGGCTGTGAGAAAGTGCGTGTGTTTGAAGAAGCCACGTGAGTATACCAAGTAGACAGGGTGTGGGAGGGGAGGGTGGGCCTACATTCTCCCACCTGACAGGACTTCTTCAGTCTAGGACTCTCTCTTGTCATAGAGGTGTTGTCAACTTTAGATGATCAGTATTGCCAGCTTTCCATGATCAAACGTGTTGACATTACCTACTCTGAGCACTTAAATCTTTGCTTATCATTATCTCCATAGAAACCTGCTCTCTGCCCACATGCCAGCCACAAGCACAGCAGGAGCTGGAAAGAAAATATATCTGAAACCTAAGCCCTTTGTTTCTTCTATTTTTTTCCATCTCCGGGGAAGGTGTGAGAATTTGCTAGACCATAATGAGAGAGAGAGAGAGAGAGCGAGAGAGAGAGAGAGAGAGAGAGATGGAGGGTATGGGGAGAACATACTAGTATTTCTCTTCAGTCAGAGATTAGAAGTGTTTCAGCACCACTGCAGTAGAATGGGGAGCCTAAACAGCTTAACAGTTTGAGCTTCAGAGTCAAGTCTTCCCCCTGTGGCTGTAGTGGTTCAAGTGTCATGAACTCCCAGGCAGAAATTTCCAGTCCTTGCAAGTAAGGACTATGGAAAATTTCCAAACCAGATTGGATCATTCAGAAGCCATTCTTCTGTTGATTTCTTTACACTTCCCTCCCATTAGCAGAAAGAATTAAGAGCCAACCTTTCCAAATGCCCCTGTCCCCGTTAGCAGGCACCAAAGAGCTCATTTCATTTCCTGCTGCCAGCTTAATACTCACCAGAGCAGATTCACACGAAGTTGGGGTTTCAGTGGCAGTCAGGAAGTTTAGTCATGGTGTGCGAGTGAAGATGTAGCTGGGACTGGGTTTGGGTCATTGAGAGCACCATTTGTATCTCAAATAAGGGAGCAGTAACCCAGGGTGGTAGCCGAAGGTACATACAGAAGCCACAGTAGGAGTTGCAGAGAAAACCATTGCCACTAGAGGTTTTGTTACTGTTATTATTGTTGCTGGTATCCCTTCAAGACTTCTAGGTCCTCTGAGAAGCTGTGGAGGGAAGAGGCCAGATCTCTTAGCTTCAGCAGACTCTAGGCTCTTGTACCCTCCCTCAATCCACATCATGGTGGAGTAATTACAACCTGGAAATGTGGGCGGAAATTAAGCTGTAGCTCGTCTTGGGTTTTTCATAGACGCAATGCCAGAAGAGGCCTTAAAGTCAGCTCATTTAACTTCCTGCCCCTGCATTAACCCTTTAAGAGAGGTGGTGGGCTGGGTGCGGTGGCTCATGCCTGTAATCCCAGCACTTTGGGAGGCTCAGGTGGGTATATCATCTGAGGTCAGGAGTTTGAGACCAGCCTGGTCCATTATAGCAAGACCCCCGTCTCTACTAAAAATACAAACATTAGCCAGGTATGGTGGCGGGCACCTGTAATCCCAGCCACTCGGGAGGCTGAGGCAGGAGAATCGCTTGAACCTGGGAGGCAGAGGTTGCAGTGAGCCGAGATCACGCCACTGCACTCCAGCCTGGGCAACAGAGTGTCTCCATCTCCAAAAAAAAAAAAAAGAGGTGGTGATTAGCTGGGCGTGGTGACTCACGCCTGTAATTTCAGCACTTTGGGAGGCGGAGGTGGGCAGATCTCTTGAGGCCGGGAGTTCAAGACCAGCCTGGGCAACATGGCAAAACCCAGCCTCTACTAAAAATACAAAAATTAGCTGGGTGTGTTGGTGCACGCCTGTAATCCCAGCTCCTCAGGAGGCTGAGGCATGAGAATTGCTTGAACCTGGGAGGTGGAGATTGCAGTGAGCTGAGATTGCACCACTACACTTCAGTCAGGGCAACAGACTGAGACTCTGTCTCAAAAAAAAAAAAAATAGAGTGGTGGTGATCCATCAGTGATTTTCTAAGATATGCTGGGATTGAAATTCTGTAGTTCACTGAGGTTTCTTTATTTAATCAACTTTCCTATTAGGAAGTTTGTGTGTTTAGCCATTCTTTTGCCACATTCCCCCCTTCTTAGCTATTGTCCCCTCCAAGATCATCTGGATTTTCCAGGCGAGGAGTCAAGGTATTGAGGGTCATGCTGGTTGCCATCATGTTCTCTGAGTGTTGCTGGGTCTCCTCTTGGTCACCTTCCTGACATGTACATGCACACACCTAGAACATTCTGTCTCTTGCCCATTCCCCATCCCTCCATAAAGTGGGACTCTTTTAAACCCTTCTCCATCAGAGAAGCCCTTGCCACTGTGGAGTCTCTAGGACGCCAGGCCTTCCCAAACACACCCAGCACACGGACCTTTACCCTCCACCTCTCCAGACTCTGCCAGATCTCTGCTCTTCTCTTCACACCTTGCTCTTCCTGGGCTCTCGAATTATTGGAATTCCGGAATTAAGATGGTAATTGGCTGGGTGCAGTGGCTCATGCCTATAATTCCAGCACTTTGGGAAGCCAAGGGAGGATCGCTTGAGTCCAGGAGTTCAAGACCAGCCTGGGCAACATACAGAGACACCCTCTCTACAAAAAATTTTAAAAAATTATCCAGGTATGGTGGTGGGTGCCTGTAATCCTAGCTACTCAGGAGGCTGAGGTGGGAGAATCACTTGAGCCCAGGAGGCGGAGGTTGCAGTGAGCCAAGATTGCACCACTGCACTCCAGTGTGACAAGAGAGTGAGACCCTGTCCCAAAAAAAAAGATAGTAACCAATTTATTGGTCTGTATACTAAGTGTATTTTTCTCTGAGTGTATATATTATACTCTAATAAAAAGTAAAAAAGAAAAAGCTGATTGGTGAGAACCATTGGTGGCAGAGCTTCACCATCTTCCCATACCTTTGTCTTCTCACCTGGGATCTTCAAACAGTCAGCTTCTTAGGGCTGTTTCACCCTCTAGGCTTTGCCAGACAGTAAGGAATCAGGGCTATCCCTTACTCAGGAACTCTCTGACCTGACCTTTTATCATTCCGTCTTCCTAAACAATCAAAAGGGGAGGAATGATTCCCCTCACATTATAAAGGTGAGACATGCTGGGTGCGGTGGCTCATGCCTGTCATCCCAGTACTCTGGGAGGCCAAGGCAGGAGGATCACTTGAGCCCAGGAGTTCAAGACCAGCCTGGGCAACACAGTGAGACCCCATTTCTACCAAAAAAAAAAAAAAAAAAGAAAGAAAGAAAAAAATTAGCCTAGAATGGTGGCAGGCGTCTGTAATCCCAGCTACTTGGGAAGCTGAGCAGGAGGATTACTTGCACCTAGGAGTTTGGGGCTGCAGAGAGCTATGATCACACTACTGTACTCCAGCCTGGGTGAGAGAGCAAGACCCTGTCTCTAAAAAAAAAATTAAAAACTTAAAATTAAAAAGGGGGGTGAGACAGACATGACAAGGACCACATGGTGAGTTAGAACCCAGATCTTCTGATAAGGTCTAGCTGCCTTTCTCACAGTTGTTGCCACGCTTTCCTCCCAAAGTTTTGAAAATCACACCTTTCTGGAGACCAGCCTGGGCAGCATACAGAGACCCCTTCTCTACAAAATAAAAATAAAGCAATTAGCTTGGCATGGTGGTTCATGCCTGTAGTCCCAGATACTCAGGAGGATGAGGTGGGAGGATTGCTTGGACTGGGGAGGCTGAGGCTGCAGTAAGCCATGATCCTGTCACACTGCACTCCAGCCTGGGCCACAGAGTGAGACTCTGTCTCAAAAACAAAACAACAACAACAAAAAACCCGATACTTTCAAATGCGCCCAACAATTAGACTCTTTAGGTCAGTAGATTTCAACTAGGGAACATTTGGCAATACCAGGAGACGTGTTTAGTTGTCACAGCTGGAGGGGAGGGGTTGTGGTACTAGTGGGATAGTGAGTAGAGGCCAGGGACGCTGTTAGGCATCTTACAATGCACAGGACAATGCCTCCATCCCCACCCCTGCAACAAAGAATTATCCAGCCCAAAATGTCAGTGGTGCCAAGGCTGAGAAACCCCACTTTAAGTCACTTGTCTTTGATCTCTGCTTTCAGGCATGCGGTTTGTCACCAAAACACCATTCACTAAGGAAATATTTCTTTTCTTTTTTTTCTTTTCTTTTTTATTTTTCTTTTTTTGAGATGGAGTCTTGCTCTGTTGCCCAGGCTGGAGTGCAATGGCAAGATCTTGGCTCACTACAACCTCCGCCTCCCAAGTTCAAGCAATTCTCCTGACTCATCCTTCTGAGTAGCTGGGATTACAGAAGCGTGCCACCATGCCCGGCTAATTTTTTGTATTTTTAGTAGAGACAGGGTTTCACCATGTCGGCCAGGCTGGTATCGAACTCCTGACCTCAAGTGATCCATCCACCTTGGCCTCCCAAAGTGCTGAGATTACAGGCATGAGCCACCATGCCCGGCCACTGATGAAATCTTTCGAATGAAAAGATTTCTTGGTCTCCAATTCTTGAATCACATTGTCAGGAAGTTCTCCTTCCTGTCTAGCTTCAATCCCTCCTGTTTTTAGCTAAAGTGCATTTCCTGTTGTTTAGCCATATTTTTTAAAAAAATAGATTGCTGAGGGGTTTGGTTTTCGGTCAAGTTATGATTCTGTTTGAACAGAGACCTAGCTCCCCTGCTGCCCTGATACTGTGACATCTCACCCTCTCTCACTGCATGTTTCTCTCTGTGTGTACGTGTGTGTCTTGTATGTCTTTCTTCATCCTCCAGGTCCCCAGGTCCTGACCTGGCCTTCCTGACTTCCTGTCCTGACAAGAACAAAGTCCATTTCAACCCAACCGGCTCAGCCTTCTGCCCCGTCAACCTGATGAAGCCCCTCTTCCCTGGCATGGGCTTCATCTTCCGTAACTGCCCCTCAAACCCGGGGTCTCCCCTTCCCCCGGCCAGCCCCAGGCCACCACCTCGGAAGGATCCGGAGGCCTCCAAGGCCTCCCCACTGCCCTTCGAGCCATGGCAGCGCACCCCACCATCAGAAGAGTCTGTGCTTTTCCAGAGCTCCCTGATGGTCTGAGGGTCCCATCCCTGCCCCACTTTACCATAGAGACCAGTGCCTTGGTGGCAGGTCCCTCCCCAGGTCCCCTGAGATGGGGTATGGAGGGGCCTTTCCCTCTCGGCCTTTGAGCACTTTCTTTCACTTATCGTGTCAAAGTCCTGGGTCCTCTTTTTGATGGGCACTGGCCCCTCTGAACGTGATGGGACCTGCCTTCTCCACTAGCAGCTGGGCAGCTCACAACTCACACCTGTGTACCTGCCACATCCCTCACTTGGTGGAAAACACCCAGAAGGTCTTGAGTCCCTCACCCCTGGGTGTCAGTCCAAATGACTGTATAGGAGGCCCTTATTTTTGTCACAGAGCAAGCTGGCCATGAATGAAGGAGAGAGGACGCCACAGATTTCCTTCCCTCCCTTCCAGGAGACCATAAGATAGATCCCCCATCCTCTCAGCCCTATCCCCACGCCTCCCTCTCATTAGAGGAGCTGACCAAAGCAGTCCTCATGGGCCATAACACTTGACCAATTCAGCTGCTGGCAGAGGGAGGAAACAAGTGTTTCCCAAGTGGCATTTTCATCTCGCTTTCACCCTGACTAAAGATTGTCTTAAGTAGCAGGCCAGCCCGCCCAGCCCCAGGTGGGTAGTGGGGAGGAGAGCTGGCATTCCTCCAGGTGGCAAATGGCAAATCTATACTCTCCGCCCGCCCCAGGGCTGGATTGGATTAGAAAAATGCCTATTTTTCTTGTATCGATGTAGAAACTCTATTTTCTCCCAAAGACACTATTTTTGCAGCTGTTTGAAGTTTGTATATTTTCCGTACTGCAGAGCTTACACAAAATTGAAGAATGTTAATGTTCGAGTTTTCTTATCTTGTGTTTAGAGGTTGTTTTTTGCAGATCTTGGTGTTAATAGACCAAATAAATAAATAAATATTCCCAGCAGCTTGAAGTTCTGTTAAATATGTGGGGAAGGAGGAGTGGGGTAGAGATTAAGGGTATTATACTGATCATTTCATCTTTGTCTTCAAGAGAAGGAGCCTCAGTTCCCACATCTGGGAGTTGTTATGGCTGTACACAAGAGTTCCTGTCCTCTGGACACCATGCTTGCATACTTTACATGGACATAAATAACAGACCCATGAAAAGGCTGTCCAGAATGAAGAGTGTGGTTTGTCCTAGAGGTGGGGTGAGGGAGTCATTGGGGAAGTTACCCATTCTTGTGTGAGTCTGAAAAAGCTCCCTAAGGAGAATGGATTTCAGAGAGGAAAAGCAGGTGACCAAGGGAAGACAGTTTGACATTGTGAGTGTTCTTTGCACTGGCTGGAACTCTCGACAGTTTGGGGGAAGCTTTGGTTCATCTCAGGGAGTACCCACAACATAGTGTGCAGC